TGAGAAATGAAGACAATCAAGAGCAAAAACATAGGTTGAAGTGCACCAGGCTTACCGATGCGATCATGCGTTTTTGTACTAAACTCGTGGATCGCTAATAGCAGGAATGATCCCTGAGCTGCAGCCTAACACTTGAACTCATACTGGCCGTGCTTTGGTTCCTTCCGGCATGCAGCAGAATGGGCATCGGTTGAAATGAGGGTGTTGCATTATAAAGCGGCTTGGACCTCCAGGTATATTACTAACCAGTTTTTTGCATGAAGCCCGATCGTTTTTCAGTAAATTGTCGCTTTTTGAAAAAACGCAAATTTGCAGTTCACTAAAAAGTGGAAGTGTAGCTACAGCGGTCGTTTGTCAAAAAATTCAAGTATACTAGTGAACTGAATGTTTATTTACATATTTGGATGAGGGTGGTCGTTCGCTGCAAAACGCAATCGTTTCTGGTTTTTCGGTAAAGTTGAGTATTTCTCAAACCCACCTGTAGGGAATTTCACCTCCAAGCAGAACTAATACCGCACTTGAAAGTAGAATATTCCAGCGAATTTTCAACCTCGCAGCTTATTCGGTAAACGAAATATCCACTTCGCTACAAATATTTTTGAAGTGTCCCAAGTCGTGACGCAAGTGCAAAACGGAAATCATTTTAGGTGTACTATTTCCCATGTGGGCAATAAACAAGCCGATAAAATTTCAGCCGCTATTTTGTGGAAAGTTTTCGAGTTAGCACGGTATCAAGTTACAAACTTTGACGTGATGCGTGCGCGACAGCTGATTTTGAAACATTTAGCTCGTAAGTATACAGGGAATATTTTTGCAAAGTTTCAGCTTTGTACCTTGCTTGGCCCACAAAATCGTTTCTCACCAAAGAAATTTGCACATTTTTTCCGGGGTTCCGTACATGGAGTCTAGGCGCATGTGGAAAAAGATTTTGAAACAGGAGGGTTTCACATGGAGTAGGAACATATACCTAAAATTTCAGCCTCCCAGCTTTCCTGGCTGCTGAGATGAAAGTGGATGGCAAAATGTATTCGATTCCGAACACACACACACATACACGCACGCACACACAGACTGCCTCTCGACAGTACGCGTTTCTGCTGGCTGTAGCAGTGCTGTAGCGCTGTTATAGGGCTGCACAGCAAAAACGCATAAAAAACAACAGCTTGCTGGCAAGGTCTTTTATGGCTCCTACTCCCGAGAG